CCCCAAAACCCCAAAACCCCAAAACCCCAAAACCCCAATAATAAATTCAAATATTGAAAGATTAAATATATAATGGAAGAAATAGACACAGCAGACCCAAAACTCCTTGATGAGGATGATGACTTCTATCAAATTGATTTCGGTAAATTCTTATTCCAAGCAGATATGACTATATGCACAAATTAGTATTATTCCACTTAGCTAACTTGTATAAGAAATTAGAAAATTATTTAGCCCTCTTAGAATGCCAACTGGCAGATAATATAAGCGAACTCTGTCTAGTTTAAATCTGCTTAAGCTCCAGAGGTAACCTAAGATAGATATGACACCGAAAGAATCAGATGAGGGTGGCAAGAACAGGCCAATGGTTCAAAGCAAGCTTTCTAAGGTCATCGAGGAGGATGAAAGTCCATATACTAACAAATTCACTCCAATGGTACGAATTATTGATGAGTTTTGATAACCTAGTATAGGAAGTTAAAGAGAAAGATGATTCTTTCTTTGGTAAGAACTTATTAACATATTTAGATAAAAATCAAAATATTGCTTTATTGAGACAGCAAATTCAAGAAAATATACCTCCAGAAACTGAAGAGAGGCCGAAATCATCTCGAAGCATTGGAATCGGAGATGGAAACGTCTTTGAAGAATCGAATGAGTCTGAGGAAGACTCTGAAGAAGAGAAAGATGAAGTCCATGAACTGAATTCCCTTCCTCAAGAGGATCCAGTAAAATTTATAGAAGAAACCCCCCTAGTACCTCCAAAACTCAGCCAAAAACAAAGTAACCAGCTACTCGAAGTTGAGATCAATGCTAGTCTCATGACTCTCTTTGATGTAATCGGTATTCTACCTCGCTCATGTTCTTAGGCACAAAACTAAAAGCTGCTGAAGAAATCAGACTTGATAAAGAAAGAGTCAAACAACATAACCAAGAGGTAATGCCTGAGCTTCAAAGAAAGAACACTGAACTTAAAGATGTTGGGAAATAATGCCAACAAACTTAGGAAAGAAATAGGTAAATTTGGTCTAACCCATCACCCCATCTTGTTTAGCACGACTAAAGCGTAGCTTACAGAATGCTTATGACGAGGAAGAGATGAAAGCAATGGAAAATGCCCTTAAAGATAAACAGTTAGTTATTAATCAACTTGAAAATGATGTATCTGCTAACAAGAATGTTGACAAGAACCAGAAAAAGGCAATGAACAATCTATATTCAGACGATGCTGAAGCAAAATATCTCGATAAGGCTAAAGCAATGATATTTGAGCAGAAAAACAACCTCAAAAAACTTAATGAGGAATACAAATCAGAAGAGACTTCTTTAGTCCTTCAGAGACAAAAGATCTTTAAGCTACAAGAGAAATGCAAGAATTACGATAAGCTCTTAAAGCTCTCCAAAAAGAAATCCCTCACTGACCAAGAAGCCAACTCTAAGTTTGAGGAGAAAATAGAAGAACTAGAGCTCGAGCTAAGACAAATAGAAGTAACTCAGCTTGAACAACTAGAACTTAAAAAGGAACTGCTCAGCACAGTTAAGGACAAAAAGGAGAAAGTTCAGCATGATGTAAACCTTCTTGAATTGAAAATTAGAGAGAAACTTCAGGAAGAGAAATTGTCTGAATTGAAAGCTAAAGAGTTAAAACGAGCAGTCCCTCATAAAAAGTTAAAGCCATTGACAAGGAATGATTCTCAGAGTCATAGAAGCGCAAAAAGAAGTCAGGCAAAGGTATATTTTCTTCCCTCACATCTAGATGAACACCTCAGTTGATGCAGTCTCTCGTTCAATAATGGGCAAGAGAAGAGGTAGTCTAACCAGAATACCTCAGTTAAGAACCCACAAGAAAAAGATAAATAGTAGACTTAGAATGAATATCAGCATGGATCATCCAACTGGGTCAACTAGAAAATAATTCAAAACTTGCTAACTCATCTGAAGAATACTCTGACAGTGGAGTGCAAGCATATGGAACCCAAGAATTTGTCAAAAAGGAAATTCTGAAAGAGCTACCCAAATTTAGTAGTATAGGATACAAGGGATATACTCCAACAGGCGTTGTGCCAGGGACGCTTAAAATTCCAGGACTTCCTCCTCGTCCGTCCCACAACATTTCACTAGACGACCCCCCACAGTCTAATTTGAATGTCTATTTTAGAATAATTCAATTTGAATGTCTATTTTAGGGGTTTTGGGGTTTGGGGTTTTGGGGTACTCTTTAATCCAGAACTTCCTTTAAGGATTTCTCAAGAAATAGCAGGGACATAATTTCAAGCTCTTCCTCACTTCTATGTGTATTATGCTTCCTATTGTGCTTCTGCTGCTCGAGGTACTTCTTCATCTTATATCTTAAATAATCGGGATTGCTATAATCCTTCTTGGGTCTTGGCTTCTTTCAAGACTTTCTACTACGGCTATGCTTTTGAGCAGGGAAACTTTTCTCCATTTGTGTTGGAAAATACTAAAAAGTAAGCATATAAGAATTACTGGAGATTCTACTGAAAAATCTTCACCCTCTACTTTCCCATTTCTATTGCTATGATATGATTTTTCCTCTATCTCTTCTGATTGTCGTGTTCAGAATTGCTCATGTTGATTTATTAGAGAAGGAGTACATCCTAATTGACTGTAACTATTGTGATCAATAGGAACAGAGATTGTTCTTTTCTCCCTATGCTCCTTCTTCATTGACCCAATTTTAATATCACTATCACTCATAGCCTTTTGAAGCTCTATTTGGTCTTTATCCTCTTCGCTTCTATCATAACTTGTAATTTTAGGAGTATATTTAAATTTTTCGCTATTCTCCTGGATTTCTTTGCACTTGTTCTCGACCTGCAAATTATTTTCCTTTAGCATATTAATCTCCTAATTTTTAGACGACGGGTTTACCCTTGAATCTCTTCTGTTATACTCAATAGAGTAGAGGTTGCTTATTAGCGGACTTTTGAAGGAGACGTTGAGACCCCAACCTTTGTTTTTATCTCCATTCCTCCTTCTGCAGACAATGAATTTATTTAAAACTCCTGTAAACTCGAGAAATGCAACCTCAATTTGCCCAGTTTCTATTCGAAATCTTGAATGTATCCATCCAAGAAGGGTTTGCCTTTAATTTCTGCCGTACTTGATTTAGATTACTAATGCCAAGCTTTCTTTTAGAGATGAAGACTGGTTCCCATCTGGGATTGCCTAGGACAAGTGATGAGTTATGGTCAATATCTCAAAAATCTTAGCCAAAATCCTTACTCTTTTCCTTGTCAATCTTCTGGTTGAAATTATTAAACTTTAATGCAGATAACCTTTTTGTGAAGCCTTTATCAGGCAAGTTCTTGTCCTTCCCAACTTCTTGTTGTTTCTTATCCAAGATTTTCTTCCCCATGGTTTATTTATAAAATTAATTTGCACAAATTCGTAAAATTGGGGTTTTGGGGTTTTGGGGTTTTGGGGTTTTGGGG